TGCTAGAGCTTAGTATAGCTCAAAGACCTTGTATGTCCTAACTGGTGACAGAGACTTGCTAAGTACCAGTACAATGCTGTGTCCTCTATGGTGAGGTACTCTCTTACTACTTGAACCAGTGGAGCAGAATTCCCAGAGTCAAAGACAGTCGAATCATCCGGAGCTGAGGGAGGCATCATAGACAGGAAGAGGAGAAGCTAAGTTTGATACATAATTTGCTATGAACCTCACAGCTCCTATGTTTCCCTATGATGACAACATGTCATTTCCAGGACCTACTGTCTGTGTAGTATCTGTGGTATCTAGACATTATTTTCTGAGATTCTTCCGCTGATAGCTGGAATTCACTTCATTATTATATATATATTACTGATTACATGCATTCATTTTCATGGCTGACTTAGGTGTCTCTATTTCACCTTTTTAAGTGTTTAGCAGTTGTGTGTGTATGTATCTTCATTATATGTGTTAACATGGTTATGATAATGACTTATCATAACCTGGGGGCTTTCTTTAGTAAGTAGTGGGGGTGTCCAGCCAAGTGTGCCTAGAAATATTGTATTCATATACTGACATATTTTGTAGTGCCAATACTTAAGTTGCCCTACTCCGGAGATAAGTTGATCGTATATTGGCCACGGGAAATCCCTTAGACCAATACGAGCCAAACGACTCAACATAATTATCTCTGAGTGCTGTTGGTTCTGAAGGAGAAATCCTTACATTAGGCACGCGACAGGAGTGATATGTGACAACATGGTCACCTAGAAACCTCTCCGTTTTCATCCTAAAAACCTATTCGTGGTCAGCATAGAAACCTCTCACTAGAAACCTCTCCCTAGTCTCCATATAAACCTCCTTGTGGTCAGCCTAGAAACCTCTTCGTAGTCAACGTAGAAAGCTCCCCCTAGTCACCCTAGAAATGTTTCCATAATCACCCTAGAAACTTCTCCCTAGTCAAACTAGAAACTTCCCACTTGTCACCCTAGAAATCTCTCCCTAGTCATCCTAGAAACTATCCCTTTTCATATAGAAACCTTTTCCTAGTTATCCTAGAAACTATCCCTTGTCATATAGAAACCTTTTCCTAGTCATCCTTAAAACCTCTCCTTAGTTATCATAGAAACCTCTCCCTAGGCACCCTCGAAACCTCTCCATAGTCACCCTAAAAACCTCTCCATAGTCACCCTAGAAACCTCTCCATAGTCACCATAGAAACCTCTCAATAGTCACCCTAGAAACCTCTCCCTAGTATCCTACCAACCTCTTGGTGGTCACCCTAAAAACTTCTCCGTGGTCAGCCTAGAAACCTCTTCGTGGTCAATATAGAAACAAGTTCTAAACTGATAATCTCGCTGAAATAGATATGATCGCCCCTTCTTTCGAAGTCGGAGTTCAATTTTCATGTGAAGCATTGAACCAGCAGTCTCCACACAAAAAAGCTTAAACTGCAAAACAGAAATACACGCAACTTCAAAGTCCTGGAACAAAAGTCTAGAAGTGAATAAAGAACCAGGACTTTGCATCGGAGAAGACAGTTTCATGGAAAAAATGAGGGGGAGGGGGTGGGTGAGTATAATTTGCAGTGTTAGAAGAATCAGCTGTTGCTGTAGTAGTAGTAGTAGCAGCAGCAGCAGCAGTAGTAGTAGTAATAGTGGTGGTGGTAGTAGTAGTAGTTGTAGTAGTAGTAGTAGTATTAGTACTAGTAGTAGGTGTAGAAGTGAGAGTAGTGGTGGTGGTATTGGCATTAGTAGTAGAGGTGGTGGTATTGGCATTAGTAGTTGTAGTGGTGGTATTGGCATTAGTAGTAGAGGTGGTGGTATTGGCATTAGTAGTAGAGGTAGTGGTATTGGCATTAGTAGTAGTGGTGGAGGTATTGGCATTAGTAGTAGTGGTGGTGGTATTGGCATTAGTAGTAGTGGGGGAGGTATTGGCATTAGTAGTAGTGGTGGTGGTATTGGCATTAGTAGTAGTGGTGGTGGTATTGGCATTAGTAGTAGTGGTGGTGGTATTGGCATTAGTAGTAGAGGTGGTGGTATTGGCATTAGTAGTAGAGGTGGTGGTATTGGCATTAGTAGTAGAGGTAGTGGTATTGGCATTAGTAGTAGTGGTGGTGGTATTGGCATAAGTAGTAGTGGTGGTGGTATTGGCATTAGTAGAAGTGGTGGTGGTATTGGCATTAGTAGTAGTGGTGGTGGCGGTGATAGTAGTGGTGTTGCTAGTAGAGTCAGTAGTGGTGGTTGTTGTGGTAATGGTGATAGTTGTGGTGTTGTTGGTGGTGGAGATTTAGGTAGTATTAGTGGTGGTGGTGGTTGTAGTGATGGTGGTGGTAGGGTTGTTGGTTGTGGTAGTAGTAGTGTTGTTAGTGTTGGAGGTATCAATAGTAGTAGTATTGGTTGCGGTAGTAGTAATGATTGTAGTGGTAGAAGTTGATGTTGTAGATGAGGGTAAGGAAAGAATGAGATGGTGGTGATGATGGTATTGGTTTTTGTTCTTGTCTTTTATGTGGCTGGAAAAGAAAACGATGAACAAGAGCAAGAAGAAGAAGAGGTGGCGACGATGACGATGATAATGATAATGAATAACAAAATATAATAAATACCTTCATATGGATCCAAAGATGCCAATTCTGTCAAATCTGAGTCAGATTCACCAAGACAGTCTGTTGTTAAAACAAAAGGGAGCTCACAGACAACAGATTCACATTAAAGCAAAATCACATAAATAATCTATTCACATAAAACAGGTTCGCCTAAACACATATTTACACAAAACACTGATTCGCATAAACAACTGATACACATAAAACAATAATACACATAAAACATCGATTCACACAGATAACGCCCGATTCACATAATACATAATCACATAAACACAGATTGACATAAAACACATTTAAACACACCATTACTATGCTACCATTGCCATATTTAGATATTATCAAAGGCTAACTTACTTGAAATATATTGGTCATATGAAGAGCCACGACGGAGTCGAAAAAATTTTAGCAGAAGGCATGGTACCAGGAAGGAGGGGTAGAGGCCGACCGACACGACGATAGGCACAGGATATTAGTGACTCCTTGAGTATGAAAGTACATGAGGCGGGAGAACTGGCGAGAGACCGAGTTTCTTGCAGGCAGACTGTGATAAGAGCGACGTTCTGCAAAGGATCTGCTACATGATGATGATGAACTTACTTGAAATTAACACCTGTAAAACGAGATGCCAGAGAAAAGTCGTAAACCTAACCATCCGAGACAAAGTTACAAATGATATTGTCAGACAGACTGTAGGAACAACACCATGCAGCTATTTCACCGAGAAACAAAATCAAATGGTTTCGCTATCTAGTAGGAATGCAGCCAGAACCACTACAAACGCAGGTGCTATACATGAACAGATTTGAAGTAAAGCAAGAGGCTGCCATATGCTAATATGGATTGATGACATTAAAGAGCTTCTACATCTACACGGGATGGCATTAGCCATTGCTACCCATTAGGCAATGAGTTATAAACTATTCCCCCCTACAACGCTGAATGTTGAATGTTGGATTAAGAATTGACATCACAGCACCCTTAAGCGCCCCGTCCATATATTCAGCAGCAAGCGAAGAGTGCCAATTCCGATGTTACTAGTAACTGTCTGTATATTTGTCTAGCCGTCACTTTGAGTCTTGAGTCAGATCCACTGGTAACTTTCCGCAGCGCCTTTATTCTCAGAACATCTAGCTTGCCGTTCATCAATTTACCACCAAGTGGTGCAGTACCGGCCAGTCTATCTGCCTGCTTATTTCCCACAACACCGACATAATCTGGAGAAAATATCCAAAGGAAGCTAACTAATCAGGACCTCTGAAGTGATGCTTGTCACTCTGCACGAAGCATGCTTGTCTCCACGTTTTTCAACACGCTCTGTAAGTCAGTTACAATTACGGCATGTTTGTTGAGCTGATTCTCAAGCCAGTGGAGGGTAGCAGTGACTGCTTCCACTGTCATTCTCAAACTAGACGCTGTTATATCATATATAGCTTTTGCTATGAACCCCTGACATCCATTTACTTTTGCTATGAACCCCTCACGTCCGTTAGCTTTTGCTATGAACCCCTGACGTCTTTGCTTTTGCTATGAACCCCTGACGTTCATTTGCGTTTGCTATGAACCCCTGACGTCCATTTGCTTTTGCTATGAACCCCTGACGTCCATTTGCTTTTGCTATGAACCCCTGACGTTCATTTGCGTTTGCTATGAACCCCTGACGTCCATTTGCTTTTGCTATGAACCCCTGACGTCCATTTGCTTTTGCTATGAACCCCTGACGTCCATTTGCTTTTGCTATGAACCCCTGACGTCCATTTGCTTTTGCTATGAACCCCTGACGTTCATTTGCGTTTGCTATGAACCCCTGACGTCCATTTGCTTTTGCTATGATCCCCTAACGTCCATTTGTTTTTGCTATGAACCCCTGACGTCCATCTGCTTTTTCTATGAACCCTTATGCATTTCGTCCGCCCCTCAGTACAGAGCCATCTGTATTGGTAATCACATCATCTGGACAGGAATTGTCATGAATCATGTGTTTAACCTCTGATTCTGCAGCAAGTAGGGCAACACATCTGTAACACCACCAACACAAATACAGCGTCCAAAGAAAATATTTCCACCCAAATGTAACGTACACATATATAACAATATACACAACACACCAATTAGAAGGAGACAAACACTGTTTTTGGGTGGGGGTGGGGAGGGGCACGTAATGAGAAGAGAGGTATTGAAAAACATCGTAACAATTGGAAAGATCATTGGAAGGAGGGTTAGGGGCAGACCAAGAGAGATGATGTTGGATGGGCTAAAACGATGGCATGGAGGGATATCATCAAGAGAGCTGTTCCAGGCAACGAGGAATCGTTATCTGTGGAGATGAATGATCGCCTAAGTCTGTTGGCATGGTACATCTTCTTCTTCAGCGATCTCTGGTCATGCGCATAATCCACTGTGGGTCATAAACTGGGATGTCTTTTCAAGGTCTCTTAGGTTTCCCCAAAGCTTAGTTGTCAGTTCTACTGGGTGTTGCCATATGTCGCTCCGCAGCTCCGCCAGGAGAGGACAGTCTTGCAGGACATGTTCTGGAGTCTGTTCAGCACGAACACACTGGCAGAGAGCTGTTTGGCTCATACCTAATTTATATGAGTGTTTATTGAGTCTGCAGTGTCCAGTGCGTAAGCGAAAAACTGTGACTTGGTCTGTTCTGTTCAAGTGCCTCAGAAAATCTTTTCCATAGTTATAACCAGTGTTGTTTTTCCAATCTGTTTCTGATTTTCTCTTAATGAGAGTTTTGACTTCTGGAAAAGATAGTGGCTGGTAGCTCTGTGGTTTGTTACTGCCTTCCTTAGCTAAAGCCTCTGCGCTTTCATTGCCTTTGATGCCGCAGTGGGACGGAATCCAATGCAAGTGAATTTCTGCCTTATTTGACAACATAGCAAGTTCCTGTGTTAGACTTTGTAGTGTGCTGTCGGTAGGTTTGGACTCAAGGGCCTGTACAGCTGACAGTGAGTCAGTGAGAAAAACGGCAGGGTACATGATGATGATGACGATAATGATCTATAACTTCCACACACAAATAACACTTTCACACATATATTAGACACAAATATAACATCTACACATAAATATAATGTACACAAATATACACACACACAAATATACATACAATACAAACATATCATTATAATTATCAACCAGCAGATCTTATACAGAACGTTGCTCTCTTCACGGCACTCTAGAATGTTGCTTTCTCTAGCTAATTCTCAAGCTCTATGCGCTTTTATCATCATCATCCTTAGTGTGCCGTCAGACATCGTATAGAGCTCACATTCGATTACACCACTTAGCTCTGTTGCACGCAGCTCTCTCGATTTATGTCGGGGAGTTTAACCATCGTTTTTAGCATCTCGTAATATTGTTCTTCCTAATGTTTCCCTTTTTAGTCCTCTGTTTCTAAGACCGTTTGTTTCCCCATTTCAGTGCTTGTTTTGTAATTCTTTGCTCATTTCGTTTCAGAGTGTGCCCAATATATCTCCTCCTTCTTTCTCGTGTTGCAATCGGTACAGGTATTTGTCAAGACATTTCTCTGATCTTCCTAATTTTTTGGGAATTCATCCCATATTGTGTTCATTATTTCTCTCTGCGTTTATTTTCAAATATATTTAACTTTCGCTCCATATCTTTTAAAGTTCTCCATCTTTCGCTGGCATATTTTAGAACTGAAATAACGTTAGAATTGAAGATTCCTAGTTTGTTCTTAAAGCTGTATAACTTTGAGTCGATATTGTGTTAAGGCTTTCAAAGACTGGGGTTGCTTTGCCAATACGTGTCATTCATAATTTTCTTCGTTGCATCTCCTTAAGTGTCAAAATTGCTACCTAAATACGTGAAATGGTCCGTTACTTTTATTGGTTTGTTCTCTAGTATAACATCTACGTAATCGGTTGGTGATATCTTTAATAAATATTTTTTTCTCATTACCTGTTTGTTGTTATATTTTTGATGCTGTAGACATTAAAACGTTATTTTTCTTTCAATGTCTTTGTTATTTTTACTTAACAGCACAATAACATTTGAGAAATTCAGACCCTTGAGTTTTCTGTTATCTGCCCAGTCAATGCCAGTATTGCCATTGCAAATTGTTTTCATTACCTAATGAATGGCTACTCCAAACATCAAGGGGAGATAGAATGCAATGTTGTTTTACATACTTCCCGTCCTTTTCAGGATGAAATTTGTCTTTATTTGAAGCCCTACTCCGGCTCTTGCCAGGGGCCACAATATAGCCTGGCCATAAATATGGCCTAAATGCTGAACGCTGTTTCTGGGACCTCTCAACGGTGATCCTCACCCGCATGGTGGCACATTGTGTCATCTGGTGTTTATCGCTTGCGTGATGTCCTGGTGGGGTAGAAAGTCAGTCAGCGTTGTTTCACCCGAGTTTCCACTAAAAACCAGTCACGTTAACTATTTTCAATGTTCACTGAACATTCTAAACCATTGTATACATTTCTAACAGTGGGTATTATTTTGGCAGATATGCCCCAGCATTCCGAAATCCCCCATAGGGAAATTCTGTGTAAGCTGTCAAGAAAAAAGGTTAGTTTCGTATCCTTTATAGAACGTTGCAGAACCAACCCCAGTAAGGCAATTTACGTCCAGTAGTTTGCCATTGTGCTTTTTGGACGGTCGGCTTTCTTGATACCCCTGTCGAAACTAACGCAAGGCGCATGGCCCGCAGCTGGAATCGAACCCGGCATCCCGGCATTACGAAGCGTTCGCTCGACCTAGCCACAGAGCCGACAAGCTGTCAAAGGCCTTCTTAAATCAAATACATTTCAGGATGAGAGGCTGTTGCTTCTCAGTGTCTTCTTCTAGAATGTCTCGAGGTAACGATTTGATCCAGACAACTTCTTCTAGAATGTCTCGAGGTAACGATTTGATCCAGACAACTTCTTCTAGAATGTCTCGAGTTAACGATTTGATCCAGACAACTTCTTCTAGAATGTCTCGAGGTAACGATTTGATCCAGACAACTTCTTCTAGAATGTCTCGAGGTAACGATTTGATCCAGACAACTTCTTCAACCAGACAATGAATAAATGAATCTATGTCAATCATGACGATGATGATAACGATGTTAATTATGAGGCTGACAGATAAACCGTACCTGTTGAAGAAAATGCAGTTTCTGTAACTTTCAATGCATCGCCTGTTTTCTCTGCCATATCGTCTGATGGATCCCAGCGTTTCAACGCCCCAGTTATTTTCTATACTTTACGTTGAGATCTATGGAAACACGGTTGATTAAGGCTCGTATAATACAACTTGTATTATTATTATATAAATCAACCAGAACTATAAAAGGTGTGAATTAAGTTATACGCTTAGAAGCAGAATCCTCCAGGGAATTAAGACTTGTTTAGAAACGAACCAACTTTTTTTTAATGGGTTAGGTACCGGGCACCTAGACCTGTTTAAAACTATACCTTTTTCATTCTCTCTCTCTCTCTCTCTCTCTCTCTCTCTCTCCTCTCTCTCTCTCTCTCTCTCTCTCTCTCTCTCGCCCTCGCTTGCCTTTTATAACTTTACGAAGATATCCTGTTAGAAAATTTTATTAATTATGAGAAACGCATCACTTTAAAAATATCTACTTTAATTAATCTGTGCATTAACGAACAACCATACTAACTGACTTTCGACGCCACTAAGACATCACAGAAACGATAAACACACAATGTGCCACCATGTGGGTGAGGATCACCGTGGAGAGGTCCCAGAAACCGCGTTCAGCCTTTAGGCCATATTTATGACCAGGCTATATTGCGGCCCCCGCAAGAGCCAGAGTAAGGCTTCAAATAAAGAAAAATTTCATCCTAAAAAGGATGGAAAGTGATATCGGTAACAACTATACTTTACCGCTAGAGTTCACAAATGTGTGTGTCCAGGAAGTATGGTGGCCGGATTTTATCAGCTCTAAAGCTGAGGCGTAGTGTCACTTATATAGCAAACGCCTATCACAGTTTTAATCACAAGTGTTTACTTATGCGCTGTATTTACTGCTGACAAAAGCACACTTGACTAAATATACAGCGAATCCAGCTAATGTCTACATCCTGGTTGTATGGTCAAACTAGTCAGTCAGGTTTTGAAATTACTGATAAGTTCTAGACAACGCTGCCATTTTGCCATACAGGCATTCTTACGCAACTTGAATACCGGCTACAGTTTCAGATTATACCACTAGATTTCCCTACATAGTTTCATCCCTCCGTGGGTGTCTTAAATGTGAGTTGTAGCAGAGATCTATCCCAGATTGAAAAGACCGAACGCCAAGTATACCAGCGAGCCTCAGAATAAAACAAACACAAACGGAAAAAGAGCGTTGCGGCTACAGGACCTTCGTTAGCACATTACATCAAAATAACAAACCCACACGAATACACAAGGTCACTTAAATTTTGGTCAGTGACATGAAATGACAAACGCAGCCCAAGAATATATAGCCCGAGAAGGTCAAGGGTCGTAACTCGAGGTTTTTAGGTGAAACTGTGTTGACAGTTCAGTCCCCTAGGTTTTGTGCACCAAAGGTAAGCATTAGGCGATTTTCAAGAGACTTATAAACTCTGTAGCTGGAGTAGCTAGATTTAATGGCCGTCACCTCCATGTTGCGGGAGTCTTAGTGATCCTGAGAACTAAAGTGATCGGTACTGGTTTCAGGGCACTGTCCTGCACATTAAAAAATTGGTGTCTGGACATCACAAACGTTATTGATACATCAGAAGGCTCCCGGAGCTCTACATTAGAGATACAGATGACTGTACTGGTGTCTCCCATAGACCTTTGAATGAACGACAGGACTGTATTACATTTCTTCCTGCATATTCACTCAAAGAATCTTCCTGTATTTTCGACGACGTTTGTGAATTTCTTGGATTTACCTTCTACCTTAGATTTGAAAGGCTTCAAGCTGATCTACAGTCTGCTGTCTCTGGTCCACAGTCTGCTGTCTGGTCCACTGTCAGCTGTCTCTGGTCCACAGTCTGCTGTCTGGTCCACTGTCTGCTGTGTGGGCCACTGTTCGCTGTCTGGTTCACAGTCTTCTGTCTAGTCCACAACCTGCTGCCTCCTCCACAATCTGCTGTCTGGTCCACAGTCTGCTTCTGGTCCACTGTCTGCTGTCTGGTCCACTGTCTGTTGTCTCGCTCACTGTCTGCTGTCTGGTCTTTTTTCTGCTGTCTAGCCCACTGTCTGCTGTCTGGTCCACAGTCAGCGGTATGATCTACTAAGCCTATCTTTCTCCTCAATCAAACACAACGGACTCAAAATACACATCCTTGAACAGCACAAATGTTCCCTCTGAGGTAACAAATATTTACCCTCCCTATAATTAGTGAAACCAAATATTGTAATTTATATCTTCTTTCTTTGTTTACATTAAGAAGAAAATACTATTGTTTTTATTATAATAGAGGATAGCAACAATAACGGAAAGATCGAGATGTTTCAGTTATCTACATCAGCCATCTTGCAATGTTTCTGTGCTGTGAGTCTCCTTACTTTGACAACAACAGGGAAATAAATTTCGGACTTCCCGCCGCATAGATTTGCCTGTGATGATGTAGAGGTAGAAGTTGATGGCGTAGTTGACGTCCATCAGGATTGCTGTCAGATCGTCCGTTGTTTTGAGCCAGGCCCAATGTGGGTTGTTGATTTGCATCATCACATTGCAAGCCTGTGGGAACACGGTTGCTAGGAAGGCTAACAACACGGCCAACACCTAGGGAAAACGAAAATTGTAAAGAATACGCGAAAGGTAAGGCTGATGCACGGGTAAGACCAGAAATAGTACAGTAACGTTAATGGTTCGGGTAACACAAGAGGAATAACAGAAATAGCACAGAAGGGCTGTAGGTTCGGCTAAAACCTGGGAAGAATAGACGCAGTCCAGTAATGGATAGGTTTTGCAAAAATATGGGGAACAATAGAAACAATTCAGTAAAGCCATATTTTCTGTTAACACATGGGGAAGAAAAGAAATAGTTCAGTAATATCATAGGTTCGGCTAACACATAAGGAAGAATAGAAACAAATCAGTAAGGCCATAGGTTCTTCTAGCAAATGAGGAAGAATAGAAACAGTTCAGTAAGGCCATAGGTTCTGCTAACACCTGCGGAAGAACATAAACAGTACAGTGAGATGATGGATTTAGGTAACACCTGGGGAAGAACACAAAGAGTACAAAAAGTCATAGGTTAAGTGAACCCATGAGGAAGAACATAAACAGTACAGCAAGACATAAGTTCGGGTAACCCATGGGGAAGAGTATAAACAGTACAGTAAGTTATAGGTGCGGGTAAACCATGGGGAAGAACATAAACAGTACAGTAAGTCACAGGTTCGGGTAACCCATTGGGAAGAACATAAACAGTACAGTAAGTCACAGGTTCGGGTAACCCATTGGGATGAACATAAACAGTACAGTAAGTCACAGGTTCGGGTAACCCATTGGGAAGAACATAAACAGTACAGTAAGTCATAGGTTCGGGTAACCCATGGGGAAGAACATAAACAGTACAGTAAGTCACAGGTTTGGGTAACCCATTGGGAAGAACATAAACAGTACAGTAAGTCATAGGTTTGGGTAACCCATTGGGAAGAACATAAACAGTACAGCAAGTCATAGGTTCCGGTAAACCATTGGGAAAAACATAAACAGTACAGTAAGTCATAGGTTCTGGTAAACACTTGAGAAGAACATAAACAGTACAGCAAGTCATAGGTTCGGGTAAACCATGGGAAAGAACATAAAAAAAGTAATAGTGGGTTCAAAGTAGGGCCACTGCCAGGGAAAAGAACACAAAATGTACGATTTGTGTGTGTAAACGACACAAGTCATCAATAAACAACCAAACAAATATTGAATAATCATGCTGCCATCAGAGGTTCAACACAGACCATTGTCTCGGCATTTAGGAGCTCTTACGATAGGTTACAATAACTTATAGGTACCACTGTACTCCCACTGTCTCTGATGTGTCACCGCTGATAAATAATGACTGACGAAGTGGCCAATTATGAGAACGAATTCTGATATACCTGCCAAAACAGCTCTCACATGCACAGCAGAGGAAAAGAGAAAACAGGGGCGCCCAAAAACAACATGGAGACGAACAATGGAAAGTGACCTGAGTGCGGCATCTTTGACATGGAAAACTGCACTGAAAATTGCACAGGACAGAAAAGCATGGAAAGACCTCTGTGACGCCTCATGTGCCACTAGGCATAACGAGAACTGATGATGATGATGATGAAGTGGCTAAGCCGTTTGCCTGGCGGTATGAAGGTCAGTGCTCGTTTTATGGCAGGTGTAAGGTTCATGAGAGCTCTTTTTTACAGTGTAACATTGAGATCGTCTACGAAGCTACGATGTTTGTGCCCTGTGCCGCTCACACTGTACCAGATTTTTAACTCTGAGAGACGCCAGTTCACTCTCGCTCACACTTACCATGTTTGCAACCCTCTTGAATTTCTGAGTCCTCTTATCGCTGGTGACCTTCAGATTCTGCTTTTTCAAGGCCACAATGATGCTGACGTTGCAGATGAAGATCAAGGTCAGTGGAACTGCGCTGACCTTGTGGTAAAAAAACAATCAGGGATAAACCAGACGATGAAATCAGCTGACAAGGAGCGGGAGGTACAAGACTTGATGGATTGGGAGGTACAAGACTTGATGGAGTGGGAGGTACAGGACTTGATGTAGTGGTAGGTACAAGACTTGATGAAGTGGGAGGTACAAGACTTGATGTAGTGGGAGGTACAATACTGGGAGGTACAAGACTTGATATAGTGGGAGGCACAAGACCAGGTGGGGAAGGAGATACATGCCTGGGTGGAATGGAAAATAGAAGACGTAGTAGAATAGGAGGTACAAGGCCTGGTGGAGTGGGAGGCACAGGAGTGGGTGGAGTGGAATATAGACGACTTGATGGAGTGGTAGGTACAAGGCTTGATAAGGCGGAAGACACAGGGCTAGGGGGAGTTGAAAACAGAAAACATGGTGAAGTGGGAGGTACAAGACTTGGTTGAGTGTGAGTTACACGATTTTATGTAGTTGGATGTACAAGACTGAGAGGTACAAGACTTGATGTAGTGGGAGGTACGAAACTTGATGTAGTTGGAGGTACAAGACTTGATGTAGTGGGAGGTACAAGACTTGATGTAGTGGGAGGTACAAGACTTGATGTAGTGTGAGGTACAAGACTTGATGTAGTGGGAGGTACAAGACTTTATGTAGTGGGAGGTACAAGACTTGATGTAGTTGGAGGTACAAGACTTGATGGAGTGCGAGGTAAAGAAGTGATGGAGGGGGAGGTACAAGACCTGCAGGGGCGGGAGACACAGGACTTGGTGGAGTTGGATATAGAAGGTGTATTTGCACAAATCTGGGTGGAGTGAAAATTAATAGATCTGGTGGAGTGGGAGGTACAAGGCTTGATGTAGTGGGAGGTACAAGACTTGGTTGTGTGGGAGGGGGGGGGGGGTTACAATTTCTGTTGGACTGGGAGGTACAAGGCCTGGTGGCAATGGATGTACAAGACATAAACGAACGAACGAACAAACTTTATTTTCAAAGGGTTACAAATTAGGCACGCAGGCCTGTCTTACATTCGGCCCTTCCAAACTTCCATCTTTCACACAGCAGTTGTATTGATGGAGTGGGAGGTACCAAATCTGGTTGGAGTGGAAGGTACAAGACTTGGTGGAGTGGGAGGTACAAGACCTTATGGAGTGGGAGGTATAAGACTTGATAGAGTGGGAGGTGCAAGACCTGGAGGGGCGAAAGACACAGGACTTGGTGAAATTGGATATAGAAGGCTTGGTGTACGTGGGGAGGGGCACAGAACTGGGTGGAGTTGAAAATAGAAGATCTGGTGGAGTGGGAGGTACAAGGTCTTCTAGAGTGGGAGACACAGGAGCGGGTGGAATGGAAAATAGAGAAATAGGTGGAGTGGTCGGTGCTAGGCTTGGTGGAGTAGGAGGCAAAGATCTGTTAGAGTTGGAGGTACAAGACCTGGTGTAGTTGGAGGCACAAGACCAGGTGGGGAAGGAGATACATGCCTGGGTGGAATGGAAAATAGAAGACGTAGTAGAATGGTATGTACAAAGCCTGGTGGAGTGGGAGGGACAGGTGTGGGTGGAGTGGAATATAGACGACTTGATGGAGTGGTGGGTACAAGGCTTGATAAATCGGAAGACACAGGGCTAGATGGATTTAAAAACAGAAAACATGGTGAAGTGGGAGGTACAAGGCCTGGTGGAATGGGAGGTACAGGAGTGGGTCGGGTGGGATATAGAAGACTTCATGGAGTGATCGGTACACAACATGGTGGAGTGGGAGTTAAAATAATTTGTTGAGTGTTAGGTACAAGATCTGGTGAAGTGGGTGCACAAGATTTACTGGAGTTGTAGGTACAAGACCTGGTGAGGTGGGTACACAAGATTTGCAGGTGTTGTAGGTACAAGACCTTCTGAAGCAGGAGTTTTCGTGCACATCCATTTTACAGAACTGGCTTTTTTTTGCATGCAGACTGTTGATTCTGGCCTCTCAGATAGATGCATTTAGACTAGGAAGGAAACACTAAAACACTGGACAACAAAATTTAAAGAAAACTATAGCAAAGAGATTTGAAAAAAAAAAATCAAAGTAATTTCTTACAGATTTCCAGATGCTGACACGAATATAATAATAATATGAGAAAAAAAATGTTATAATAAAGCGAAATTGACCACATTTTCTGAAATAGCCGAAGAACAACAAAATAGTGAATGTGAAAACTGTGGTTATGAGGAAGCGGAAAAACGTATGTGGACTTACCGAAGTTGTGGCTACAAGGAAGTGGAAGAACATATCTGGAAACGTCCTTGTAGCGCAGCCAATCCCTGGCACGTAAATCGTCACAAAGGGGAGGTAACAGAGCATGACAAAGGGGCCACAAACGCAGAAAGAAATCAAGTATTTCCCACTGTTTTGTCCACAAATCCCTCCCGTCTTCATTGGCAGAACGACTGCAACAGCTCTCTCCATTGTTATAAATGCAACCAACCAGGATTCTGTGAATAAAATATACACAGATTTATTAAATTTGTTGAAGAGAAACATTTTGTCAAAACTTACAAAGTAATATACAAAGAAGCATTAACAGACACAGCATTCAGACATCCCCTCGGGGTAAGCAATATTACCCTACTAACTCTTTTTCATTCCTTTGTGGGATGCAATTTTTAGTTATTTGAAACCCTAATCTGGCTCTTGCCAGGGGCCGCATGTGTGATGTCTTGGTGGGGTAAAAGAAGATAGATAGATAGAGATGGAAGGAATATTTTGTTATTTGGAAGCCTCGCCCTGGCTTTTGCCAGGGATCGCAATATAGCCCGGCCATAAATATGGCCTAATGGCTAAACGTGGTTTCAGGGACCTCTCCACGGGTCATCCTCATCCGCATGGTGACACTTTGTGTCACTTTTTTTTTTTTTTTTTTTTATCGCTTGTGTGATGTCCTATTGGGTAAAAATGTACAACTACTACTACCAGAAACAGTGGGCTACAAGTGACTTCGTAAGCGTATTTATGGTGTCCTGCTATAACAATCAGTTGTCCCCATGTGGGATGCACATTTTTCGTTTTTCGAAGCCCCACCCTGGTTTCTGTCGGCTGTCCTGATTATAGCCGGAGCATAGATATGGCCTAAGACTGAATGGGGTTTCTGTGACCTCTCCATGGGTGATCATCACCCAGATGGTGGCACTTTGTGTCACCGGGTGTTTATTGCTTGTGTCGCGTTCTGGTGGGGTAATAAGTCAGTTAGTCAGTCCTAATACAACAACACTATACAGCTAAACGATTTAATGGTGTTTCCGGAATTTGTACCTGCTTAGTTCTCATTCTTGAGACATGAATCTTGTAGGCAGACAACGGCTGACAGGGACTGTCATGGACACTTATTATTTATTGATAGCATTGCCGTCTGAATGCATGGATCCGCTGGTCTCTTGCTGACAGCTCCACTAGCATAGATGGACAATGCTAGACTGTGCATGTCAAGTGACTTGCCATATATACGCATTCTATTACTCTGAGCGGTTGCTGCAGGGGCCCCATCACACTGGTTTGCACAAGGTCCCATATTGCCGTTAAGAAGGACAGTCATCATTCATCAAAAACATAAACTTTGAGGAGACCTGTTCCAGTTATCAGACGTCTAAGAAACAAAATTACTTTTGATTGTTATAAATCTCACCAGCGACATGTATTGAGGTGAAGCAGTACTCAGAGAAACGACACCAATGGTCGTTGCTGAAACGAAGAGGCGGAGGACGGCCCAAAAATGCGTAGAAGATCCCAATCCACGTCACGGATCTCATCATACAGCAACAAAGGTCACAAAATGCTAGTGTTGCAAAACGGCTGCTGATTTGTTGACGGCGCAGTGATAGTCGTGTCATAATCTGTGATTGATAATTAACATGTACCATTATCTTATACTGATTATACGTCATATGTATTACTGCTGTTCAAAGTGAAGGTAGTTTATTGGCAAACCCACATTGCAACACGCTCGATTAGAGTTCCTAATTATACAATTTTTATTTTAGTTTGAGAATGGAGGTAGGGTCAGTCACCGGAGCTTTCCAGTAGGTGGAGAACCAGCTGGGCACACATGTCGAGCTTACAAAGCTGGCTGAAAAGTGAGAACTATCTTGATTCATGCAGCCGAGCAAGCATCGCTTCGGAAGTTGCAGCTGGTGGACATACTTTGCATCACTTTCTAAGGTCATGGTAGTTTGCTAGGAAACGAGCAAGCAGACAGACCGTCTGGCTCTGCACTACTGGTTAATGCACTGGTGCGTGACAAGGCAGATACAATATGTGCTCCTTTGAATACACGAACAGCTCGGAAAAGTGAAAAGATCCTAACGTTCTGGAGAGAATGACGCAGAGGTTTCAAGATGATCTTCCCGCTCTGGGCGCTTACAGACAAGTCAGGGCTGACAACTGGTATGCTGCCTGTAGCTCGCAAGATTCAGATTGAAGCGTTGCGTGTCATGAGATAGTAATGTAGAAGTATTCCCTTGCTTTCCCCAGCTACACGGCCTTCAGCCTTTCCCAGTCTTTTAGATTGGCAAGGCTAATGAGTGAGTGCCCTGCTCTGTGATACACCTGCTATCAGAGAGTGTATTCCAGAATTGTCCACTTTTCCCAAGAGATACTTGGTGCCTATACTCGCGTTGGCCACACAGCAGTGTCTTTAAAATCCTCTAAAGCGTGCAGGTGGGTGTTTCCCTTCGCTGAGTCTTGAGACCAGAATGACATTTATCAAAACTCTCCAGTACGTTCAGAGGACTTTCAGATGATGCTGCTGCTGCTGATGATGATGATGATAATAATAAAAGTTTCAGTCATTTTGATGACAATAAACTTGAAATTAAGAATGAAATGCCATGATCCCGTGATTTGTGAAGAGCGCTGGTATTACACCTTAAGCTTCGAAAGGAATTATGCCTACAACCAAATATAACAACATCCAGACCAACTTACCAAGATTGTAACCGTTTTGCCAAAGAGCCCGGCTGAGAGAATGAGTGTCAGACACACAAATCTGAGCACCAGGTACCCAGGCTCGTCCACTCGTGACACTGGCACCTCCAGGTAGACGGAGAAGAAGTTCTGGTACCACAAGCCTTGGTTTACATCTTTGCACATCTGGTCTGTTTCCCACCAGGTGCTGCTGTTGGTGTAACGATATATGCCGCATTTTGCGGCTCTTTCTTCACATCTTGTTGATTGATTATTGCAGCCACTATTGGCACTGTTATTGTTCATGATTACAGCAATGAAGGCTAGATATTCTATGTGAAGAGAGAAAACTGTTTTTTTTTTTTTTTTTTTGTGACAGAAAAATATAACGTGTCCGCAATGATATTGCGATTTTTTTTATTTCATAGAACCAACCCACAGTTTTTTGTTTTGTTTTTTTCTGTTTCGTTTTACTTAGCAATTTTGCATTCAGTAGTGTGCCATTGCCAACATAACAGTTGATACCATTATCGAAATCAGCGCAAAGCTGTATGTGGCCTAATCGTTCACAGCAGATATCTAACGGGGTAAGTCGGAATTACCAAGTTCTTTTGCCAAGCCCAAGACGCCGACCAGTCGTATATACATAGCGTCACGAGACATCCCATTTTTATTGGTACAGTCTAGTTTGTTGGATTTCTCCCGATCGTGCAGTCGGTTCTAAAACCAAATGTCCCGTTTTATCAAAAACATAGTAATGAGCTCAAGGTAGTTAGGTAGTCACTTGTACCCCACCATGACATCACACAAGCGATAAACACTCGGTGATACAAAGTGCCACCATGCGGATGAGGATCACCTGTGGTGAGGTCTCAGAAACTCCTTTCACCCGTTAGGCCATATTTATGGCCCGGCTATATTCAGGGCCCCCGGCGGAAGTCAGGGTGGGGCTTCAAACTATAACAAAAATTGCACCCCACATGGGTACGAATTTTGAAGTTAATAATATTATTAATGAGTTCAAGAATATACCTTTATAGATGCAGAGCTCATGAGATTCCTAAGTTTTAAATACTTGTAATGCCTGAAATGTGTTGATGGTCATTTTCTTTGCAGCATGTTTTTATTTATTAATATTTATGGCTATTACAATGTAAATATCTATATGTGTTCACATGTTATTAAAATGTATTATTTCCTCAATTAATTCGTTGACTAATTATTTTGTAGCTAGTTAGCTGTGTGGTTGGATAGTTAGTGACTAGTTAGTCGGTATTACATGTTCATTGTTTTTTTTTTTTTAAGGAGACTGGTTCATTATTAGGGTGGTTGGTTGGTTTGTTAGTTGTTTGGCTTGTCTCTTTGGTTGATTTTTTGGATTGCTGGTTGGCTGGCTTGTGTCGTTGGTTGATTTTGTGGTTGGTTATATATAAATATTTTTGGAAGTAAAAGTGACCAGCGTAATTTTTAAGCATTCCTCATCGAACATCACGTGGTCTACTATTGGATGCGGCAGCATCATGTACCCAATGCAGTTGATTACTTGCTCAAGTCTAGGCAGATGACGAATGTAAAACAAAAAACAAATTTTAACCAAAAAAGTTTTTTTATAGGAGCGAATTATGTACCCAAAGACGAAAAAGCCATTTGTGTCCTTTTATGACAAATCAGGGTTCTTAGTTGTCTAGTGCTTAGGCAGTATACTTCGCTTTCTGAGCGTAGTTAGCTCCACATTGATAACCAACATTTACTTTGCATGTTTATCAAAGATTCCTAGGGGTCGTCCTCAAAGATTTGGATTTTACGATTTATGTGGCGCTTAGTGGGAGAGAAGATACACAGTAGGGTGTGGTTAGTCCATTTTGGAGAAACCCAATGTACCTTCTTCCCTTAAACATATAAAAATGTACGTTTTTTTTTCCTGTAATGTCCGGGAAGTCACTTCTGTCAACAGTTTGAGACCCAGAAGACGGTGTAACACTGGACACGTCCTGAAAAAAAAAAAAAAAACTAGCAAAGCATTTTTTGAAAAAAACGGACTTTAAAATAGGAAATACAGGGAGGGATTAAGAAGGCGTGAACGTCCAAGAGAAACCCTAAGGCGAACGTTGATACGAGAGAGAGCAAAGCTGGGATTTCGTCCATGGATTGAACTGATAGCACAGGATAGAAAGGAATGGAGACACAGACTACGAGACCTGTGTGATTTAAATGTCACAATAGGAAAATGAAGGAATGAATATTTGAGTGTGTGCTAAATTATAGATCGGTGTTTTTATGCCAACTCTTTGAGGCCCGTGCAATGCTGCGTGTGTTGCTTGAGAAGTTCCTATGTGCCCAAACAATCGTCGATCATATGTCACGTACATATTGATTCGCAGACGGCTCCATATTCGTTTCCAGTGTTTGGAAATATCATTTAAAGTATCCAGGAACGGTAACTCCAATTATATGTAGATTGGTTTCGTCCTTTTTAGGATGATTTTTTTTTTTTTTTGTTATTTGAAGCCCCACCCTGGCTTTTTTCGAGGGGCCGCAATATAGGCAGGCCATAAATAGGGCCAATTGTCTGAATGCGGTTTCTG